CTACCGTACTAAGAAGTTCCAACAAATCTGTCTATTCGTTCGTACGTTTTATCCTATTGTAGGTTTTTTTCCTCCATCATACGGTAATTTTTTATAATTTCCTGTAATTTCTTCGATAATTGTGGCAAATCATCCAGTTATTTACACGTACGATGATCAGTCCTGCAGAGTCGATCGAATTTGATTGCTATTCACAGTACTGATGATCTGGAGCATGTTTGCCCCGGTTCATGTAGAGTGCGATCTGATCAGGAGTATGAAAGATTTGATTGATCAGATGTATGGATTGATTGTTGGCGATAGTTGACTCTCATGATTTGTTTGTTCATTTTCAGACGCGAATAGTATTGGCCGAGAGTAAAATTCATTTGTTGGGTGCATATCAAAACATTAGAATCGCACGGAATGCAATCTCATCGCTTATTATGGGTTAGTGATTTTGTGATAATGTTGTGATAATCGGAGAAGTTTGGGCGATTTAAAAAAGTGGTAATATTGGCGTACTCATAAAATTCGATTGATCAAGCGATGTGTTTGTTGAGGATAGAATTCCGTTCGAATTCGCATCGTGGAATGTGTTGTTCTGTTTTAGTTTTCAAAATTAGCTGTTTTCGTGTGATCATAGAGGATTGTTGTTGTGTTCTAAAAGCACGCATGATTTAGCACCTTGCGTTTTGCTCATTATTTATGTGAATTGAGAATTTGTTGTGGATATCAGTGAGAAAAATCTCTGACATATGGTGTTCTTGCGAAACACGGTGAATGAGCAATTAAATTATTCGTGTTCATTTTTTCAATCAAAATTGTTAGATGTTACGGTAAGAACCAGTTTTTTTCCTAGTCTAATGGGTCTCGCCAATAATGTATTCGTGTTTCATTGTTTCTTTTTTGTTTGTTTCAGGAAGCCCACCGTCTAAGGTGTACGGTAACTTGAGGAATTTAGCAAGTCGTGCCAGTGAACGTCTCTGAACTTGAAAAGAACCAAGCAGCAGAAAGAATACCTTCAATTCTAATTACATCGATGAATCGTAAAAATGAAACGATATAATGCAGACACAGTGATATAATGTACTGATAATGAAATTACCTATTTTATTGGTTAAGAGAGAGGGAGTTTAAAGAAACTTTATTCGTCAGCAATGTAACTCTTATGTTGTTCTCTTTTGCTCTCCCGTTTGTTTGTTGTTGTTATGATGTGATGTTGAATATGAATACAAAATTTGTTATGCTAATATGCGAAATAAACTGAAAGATGATATAAAATATTGTCTGATTTATATCTCGACGAATTTGCATTGGAAGAATACATTCACGAAAAGAGCAAGTAAATCACTTTGCGAATCACACAAATTGGTTATGAAAGTTTTGATTTTGCTTACGACCAGCTGAATATGGATCGTAGGCGATGAGCTGATTAGCGAACTTCATTTATGAGTTTGAGGTGGGCAATAGTGCACTATTCCGCTACTTGGCTAACATGAAAATAGCAGAATATCTGATCGCTAGTACCGAAATAAGTGGTTCCGTCATTTCGGTAATGGGGAAGTGGCGGAGTGACTTGAGTATATGTGTTTTTTCGAGTTCAGCCCATATGAAGGAGCAAATTCAAGTAGAGTTTCCAAGTATTATAGAATATCTCCTCTATCCTGGTGAATGAATTACTCTGAGAGTTACGTATTGAGGGAATTTATGCGTATTTCAAGGAAACTGCCTAGCTATTTCGATTCATTGCGTTGCACCACCGATGTCGTCATATTGTCACATTTTAATGGAGTTCTTTTTTTTCGGTGAAGTGATTGGGTGGTTGGATAGCTTTTAGAAAATTATTCGTTGCCTTTCAAATGATCCTCATAATTCAACAGGCTCTCAAGGCCATCCAGGTGGCGCGGCTCTCATCTGTATAGTTTCTTTTGAATTTGTACGAGTATTAAATATGCAATATTTCGTTTGTTACCTCATATTTTATGCGGCGTGTTCATTCATTCGTTGGTTCATTGCAACGTATTTTTGTGAGGACATACGACCTTGTCGCTAAGGTAAAAAATACGAATAAATAACCCAATAAATATCCGTTTCAGCGGATTGCTTTTGATAGAGCCGCCATCAACCCCCTCCAAGTCACAAATCACGGCAAAATCAAAGTTTTCTCTGAGTTGCTCAATTCAGCTTCAAAACGATCAGAGAAAATTTCAGAAAGCATCACTTGGAAATATTCAATAAATGTTTTCGAACGAATTATCAGTGAACATATTGAAACTGTTTGAGAGAGATAGAGAA